TTAAATAATACCCAGTAAAAACACATTCCATCATTCGCCACGACTCCACTATGTTTCCGAAATGCTGCGTCGGAACATAGCCAATACTATGCAGGATTGTAAAGAAGACTGCAAGGAAGAAAAATTTTTTTACTTGAAGATCTTCGTTTATTTATTATATGATTAATTGAAAATGATCTCAGGTGTAAGATCTCCGGACTCTTCATAATATATCATCTGCACATCTCGTTCCTTTTCATTGGTGTGTCTACGATCCATTTTTTTGCGCAGACGATCTTTTGCAAGCTGATATTGATATGACATTTCACATCTTGTGGCATCTGTTATGAATGAAAATAATAATTTTTCAAATCATTCTTTTTAACATTGCTCAATCAGCTCACCCTTAATGAATTTCACAATCGCATTGTCATAGAGTAATTCCTTCCCCTCGATGTCCTTTCGCCTTGCGAAGGTTTTAATGAAGTAGCGATCATCAAAAATGTCGCGAAGGAAACTGTTTCCCAATTGAAAATACTGAGCAAAGGGAGTTGGTGGAAGGTTTGCTGAAAGCAGGAGACCGTGATCTTGTAAGTTTAATCTTCTAGTTATTTTTTTCTACAATAGAACGAAATCACAGATCACAGATATTGTGAAGGTGCAACGTGAAGAATTCCTTGAGGAAATGTTCTGACGCAGCTTTTCGGAAACATAGCGAAATCGTGGCGGATAATGGGACGTGTTTTTTACTGGGTAGGCTCCAGTATTACATTGATGCTAATTCAATGGCAGATTAAGTGGCGTCTCTTCTGTAAGTTCCCTCAACTTGCGATACGGTCGGATTAACCCAAATCGGGCCACCAATTACACTCAATTCAACCATCTTCCAATTACATCGCACTGCGCGAAAGAATTCACCCCATCGTATTTCATCATCGCCGGTTTAATTAATTAAATCAAACCAAACACCTTCGTCACTCCCGCCACCCATTTTTCAATTCATCTCATCCACAGAGCTTATCTGCGCTTATTGGAGTGCTTTCTCCTCCCTGATTTGATGTGCACTTCGTGCAAAGGAGTCGTTCAGGGCGGGCATTCTGGAGTTTCACCTCACACTCAACCACTTCTAATGGTGTATTTTGCCACATTTAAACAACTATATTTCCAATTAGCCATAAATCCATTCGGAGAATACACTCTGTGGCTCATTCAATGATGAATGGGAAGATGTGGGAATTTGCAGGAGCCTGAAATATACGATGTGTTTTCGCTTTAAAGTGAATACACGCTAAATTAGTTGCATGAAAAGTAATTAAACTTTCTTCATGGAAGCTCAGATGGAAAGTGAAGTTTCAGGCAGATTTGCTTCGGGGAAATAATTGCATTAAAAACTTTCCATAATGATAGTTTACGTTAATGTTATCACGTAAATTAACTATGTACAGTGTGTATATGTACTGTGGCTCCTATGGATAATGAATGGTAATTGAAACTCCTTGAACAGCCATGTGAAGAATGGAGAATTTAGTACCCAATCTACAGTTTTTCTCCACTAATTTGTACTACGGCATTCTAATAATAATACTGGAGAATTGATTACCACTTCGTTGAAAGGGGTCATCAATGTGCGCAAGGTTGCCGGGATAGTAATTCTTCTGGACACAATGAGGGTTCCAGCCCCTTTCACTCAATTTCTCTGAAAGTTCCTCGTGCAACTTGTTGATTTTCCCACTGATAGAAAATTACAGGCCACAGTCATTTGCCCCAGATTGCCATGAGTGGGAGGAAGAATCGAATGGTGGTTCGAAGCATGTGGATTTAAATCAAATAAATCTCGATAAAGCCACGGATGAGTTTTGGGCGTCTCCATGATCAATATACAGTGAGTGGTTTGGAGTATTTATGGGGCAATCCTCGCCGCTTGTCCCACTCCGTCCGACGGGCGGCTAAAAATAGGAACAGTTGTCGAATGCAGTCACTTCTTGGCCACCCCACCGGGGCGCCCAGAAAGTGGTTTACAGGTGTGTCCTTCACACTTTCCGTCCGATAATCATCTTTCGTCCGACTGTGCAGAAAAGGTGTGGTGCTGAGGATATAAAATACACACTCTCACGACAATTTAATTTACATTCGATTTGCTGTTGCTCGTAAACCGAGTACGGCGGGAGTATCTATTCCCCTAAGAAGGTAAATCTCTTTGGGCACCCTATCGACAATCCCCTCAGTGACCCTCTTTTTGCCAAAGAAATACGATTACTCAGGGTGAAAGAAAAATATCTTCCATTTCGACAGAAAATAGCTTCTTACTGAAAAGTTTAAAAGCTGCTAAGGCGTGTTCATGCACTGGATTTCTTGCATTGAGACTCCCAATATTTAATAATCATACTTTCGAAAGTGTATAGATGATCGAGGTAAGGAAAGTGTATAAAAGTTTCTGCTCAGTTTCCAACTTATTGAATTTCCAGCGAAATCAAGTACTATTATAACTTTGAAATATATATTTGTTGAGGTAGAAAATTGAATAAATCTTTTACTTAATCAAACGGAGAATTTCAATATAAATTGAATTATCGAAATATTGTTATGCTAAAAGTTTTTGGTTGCAAACCGGTACAATTTTCTACGTTTTTTACATCACGAGGCATTTGGCTTCCAATAAATGTGATCTATAAATAAAGCTGTGTCTATATATAGAGTGATATTTCACTTAGGGATCAATTTTGCATAATTACATATGGGCAAATATTGATTGACCTGCAGCATACGAATTTGCATGCCAAACATTTCCATTAAATATCTAAATATCAACTTTAAAGCTTGAAATCGACATTACTTAAGCAAATATTTGAGAGCACAATCAATCGAAAGTTACTGAACGAGGTGAGAATGCAATTAGACTAGTGTAATTCAAGCTCATGGTCTCTCAAGGAGCCAGTCATTGAATTTATTAGGCGAATGTCTGACAAACACAGCGTGTAGATCTCTAAACTCAATTTAGCTTTTGACGATGGAGCAAGTGACAGGTGATTCGTTGTGTGCACACAGAGGACATGCAATGGATGCGAAATTGAAGCTTTACAGAGACGGAGAAAGAGAGACTCCCATCGTCTCCACATGAGTTGCAGTGAGACGAGAAAGCCATTTCGCTAACAGAATCACACACACACACGCTTCTTTCCATCCTCTTTAACCACCCCATCAGGCTTTTTATGAGACGTCGATTTGAGGGAAATTTAATTTTCTCCTGATGGGAACATGTCGAAAATATTTCTCGTCTCATTCTCTGGTTCTTATGACAAAATGCGGGGGAACTTCTGGAAGATTGAGCTGTGTCATTAGGAAATTTATGAAGTGTTGATCGTTAAATCGAAGGGGAAGTTGCTTCCATCACAGATTTCAATCATTCTTGAGACTTTGGCAAATCTATTTGCGAACTCTTCCGTCATGAGAATTAACATATATCGGAAAAATGTGGCTTTTACTCGTGTCTTTCCTGGGGTTGCGAGATATGGAAAAGGGTATCTTTGAGACAGCGTGTTTGATGCTGTAAAACTTTCATCACCGCCACATCTGTGCTCCACTCAACTCTGGAAAATCCACACTCACACACAGCCAAGTGACTTTATGACTTTGATCCCGAAGAGTGTTTCTGCAAAGGGTTCATCATTCGTGCATGATTTTGCCTGAATGGTGGAAAGTCACCGGAGAAATGCGTTTCAATTCAAAGCTCTAATACAAACTGAAGATGATTTGATTGTTTTTTTTAGCGGATTAATTATCCATTCAAAGCCAAATGACATGCCCCGGAAACACAGACTCTTCCGGTGAGTGACGCTAGTGAGTCAGAAATAGAGAAAAGCGGGGTGAATAAAGGTAAACCCGAGTGAATCCCAACAAATAAGTCGTAATACGCTCACCCACACTTTCCTGCAGATTTCTGGCAGACAAGAGTGGAAACGGCAAGGTTAAGACAATGACACTCATCCTTCGGACGAGTCCAGTTGATTAGCACACCGAGTATTTCCACGTGTACATCGAAGTCCATTTATATCGCTCGGCTCAATAATTAATTTGGCTCTTAGCATCGTGTGCCATTTTATTTGATCCCACCTCGCCTGCATTCATTTCACGGCAGCACCTCGGCAGGACAAGAAAACACAAATATTTGAATTATTTATTGATACATTACGGACCGTGTGTTCTTTACGAGAGCATGGCTTTTTTCTCCACACCAAACTCATTTTCCTGCCCACGGAGAAGTGAAGAGACGCACAGGAGGATTAATTAATCATTCAATCGCACAATATTCATGATTCGAGGCCATCACTTTGGATTATTATTGCTTCACTCAACCATCGACTGCCTCGAAATTTTCCATGTTTTTCTCTTGGCCTGAAGCCACATAAAGCTATCTCTCACTATACACAGCGGGAAAAGTTCGGGGAAAAGCTGGATGGAATTGTGAACTAACGTACGAGCGGAAGACGATAAAATCTAGCAGACATTTTAAATGCCATCTCGAAATCGTATAGTTAATATTTCACACTTCGATGTACTAACAGAATTTTTTCTCCAACAAACCATAAATACCAAATTTGTGAAATTTATCAGCATTTCCTCTCAGTGCAGGAAGAATTTGCATGAGCATGTCCTACAGAGTGAATGAAAATTAGAGGAAAATTCGAGGGTAATTTAATAGTTACCCCGCGGCACTACTAAAGTCAACAAGACCATCAGTTTCGAGCATAATGGAGAGGCCAAGAAACTTTTGGCAATTTCACAGCCTACACCAAAGCAAAGTTTGTTCGCCTCGCGCCTTTTTTTCTCAATGGGTCGCCCAGAAAGGTCAAAATCCACCCTCTCTGTCAAGGCTCGCACTTGGGCCAAATGGTGTCGATAATTGTACACGTGCCACCGAAATTACATTGTCTTTTGTGGCGCCAAACAGTGTTTTCGGCCAACCTCCCATGAGATAGCGAGAACTTAGGCTAATTTATGGGAGTTCATATGGTGATAATTACCTGTAAATAGACGAATGGATTGTGTCTATTCATCCAAAGCGACAGCCAAATGCGTCCATTTTCACGGCTCTAGGCTAGTCCATTTCCATTTCCATCAGTACACACAAGAAACGCCACCAAAACGCCTCACCAGTCAGATTATTCCTGGAAAAGAAGAGGGAAAAGGCAAAATTAGCATTCCTGTCGCTGTGTGTACAAGCACAATGGATGGTTTTCTTTTGATTCATTCACCAAAACAGTCAGTTAATTCTGTTTTAATACATCTTCCGCCACCGGCTGGAAAAATGATTCTGCACATCCACAAAGGGAAGGGAAATTAAAACGCCTCAAGCTGTGCTGCGCCACAAAAAGTTCAGATGACATCTTTGAGATATTTCCCATGAGAAAAGTCTGTAAAAATTGGCACTGGAAAAAATCAACCCCCACCAAATCAGCGAGATACTAATTCTGTGAAAATGTTATGTTGTAATTAATGAATAATAAAGTGGGGATTCTGAGAAAATGCCCTCAAGGAAGTGTTTGCGTAGGAAAATGTTGAAAAATTAGCTCAGTAATTGAACAAGAGAATGAAGAAAATTTGCCAAAAGCACGTGTAGCCGAAGGGATTCCATCTTAAGACCCATTATCCGATCACTTGATGGAAAATTTAGCGAACATTCCCTGGGGAATTGCTGAACGATTTCTTAACACTCCGTTGCTCATGGAATTCACAGTGAAGTACGGATTTTTCTACTCATAAATTCATAGCCTTCACGTATTGTTTGAGTTAGTGTTCTCGACAAAATTCTACTGGCACATTTTTTACTGTAAATTTAACCCTCTTCCAGTTCTTTTGTCATCCGAATCGACCCAAATACATTATAATTTTCTATCATTCTTACTTTCATTGGAATGGAAAAAATATAATTATGAAAATATGAAGTGAAATATTAATTTCTTATTCATGTATAGAAATATATGAATAATTAAGTTTTCTATCGACAGCTATTTTAAAATTATTGGGGAAATGAGAGCAAATACAATACATAAGTAGAATACGTTATATGAATTCTCTATGTAATTTTTTTTCCTTTAAGTAAGTAAACATCTGTCAATTGAAATATTTTCCTTAAAAAAATTACAACACGGTTACCCTGCCGCAATAGGGGGCATTAGGGGGGTGAAAGTGCACCGACAAGGTCGTAAAATGAATAATGAATGTGTTGAGTTTGCAGTGTTTATTGTCTGTATTCCCTAAAATTTCTTTTCAATTTTACAACGAACAAAGTATCCCTGAAAAATATAAATTATTGCAAATTCCCCAAAAAATATCTTTCATTCACTGCCGATTTCACGCTGTGAGAAAGTAGACAAAATCGTATGAAATTCATGTAATTTGAAACATGCAATTTGGACAATTTTCTACAAAAGAACATCTGTGTTCTCTTGTGTGTCTTTATTGGTGATTTTGCACGTCTTTTCACCATTGTCGCATATCTTATAACTTATTTCACTCGCAAATTCACTGGATTATCCTGCAGGAGGGGAAGAAATTGGTGAATTGGAAAAATGTGAAATGATGTGTTGAAATGATAAAGTTTCATTTCTCGCTCTTTTTTTTCTCTGAGAATTTCAGGTATATATCGACGAATTGAATTCCCCCGCCCTGAAGTCCTCGACTCCTTGCCAAGACACACCTGAGCACTATCTTTGCATGGCCAGAGCATTTTGTGCTCGTCATCAATTGATTTCGCTATTTATTCGCGGTGCGTGCCACACACAAAATCGATTTGTGCTCGAGAAAATGTTATTAGTTCGAAAATTGCTGGGTGACACACAAAGTGAAGGTATTGGCTATGTATGAATGATGGCACAGGGAGTGGGGTGGGGGTGGGGGGAGTGCTGAAGCACGTGGGTCTATTCTTTGACTGATACCACAGAACATTATTTATTGTATTTCTTCACAATATTGCCGCAAATTGGCTGAATTCCTTCGTGCGACCAAGACAACATTCAAACAGTGCCATTGTTTGACTCAATGGCAATTCTCACCCCACAGCAATTCTGCAAATTTCGGTGGTTATTTTCTTAATTGAATTTCTACTTTTATTCGCGCACACGTGGGTTGATGTGGAAATATTTCGAGAGACTCTCCAAATTGTTATTTGCAATCTGATAGCAAATGAAAGTCACGACGATGATGGCAATGTGAGAAGGATGCGCAACGTAAGTAGATAAATATGAGAGTCTTGTTGTGAAGATGGAAGAATCAGGGTTCAATTCTCTATTCATCTTCAACTTCATATGACAAATTTATTTGCAAAAGTTTAACGAGCCAAACAAAGTGGGAATATTTTGCTGAAAATCTTTCATTGCTCTCTCAAATGTCAACATAACATAAAAAAAAAATTCTCAGAAAATCTCTCAACTCTTTCACCCAAGCACGAGTTTTCAAGAGAAATTGATTGAAAATTGACTGTAAATTTTTGTCACGCGCTCTTCCCATTCGCTTTATGCCTCAACAATAAACCTCAAAGTGTGCAATAAAGTCTCGCTGACTTCACGGTCTGCGATGTCTTTAATTCCCACCCGCAAGTGTACATATTTGCCAAGTGATATTTAATCATTAATTCGGGAGACAGGCATAAATTGTGGATAAATATTATTTTCTAATTTGAGAAAAATTACAAACATCCCACACAATGTCAATATTCCTCCTCGTTTATTGCAGCCACACATAAAAGTCACAAGAAGTATGAGTTGTGAAAAATCAATTGGCTTTCCCATCGAGCCCTTGAATCAATATTTCACGAGGGATGATTTCAATGGAAGTTTCACCCTTTCAGCGTCAATATGACATAAATTGTGCTTTTTACCTCTGTTTGATGCAAAATTCATTGCCAGGTGCTTTGGAAATCGATTTGCCATTGTACAACATTTAATACAGAAACCTCTCCACGGTACTTGAAGTCCATTTCAGTAGTATCACCTTGGAAATTGCAATTTCTGACAATACAAGAAGGTTGTGGAGCATTCTTGAGAATCTTTTCTGCTGCATTTGCATAAGTTGGCTGAATTAGATTGTAGAACAAATGACGACAAGAGTGAATTGCGAATACCAATGAATTCTTCCTATCAAAATTGGAAATTCATGAGCACAACCACGGATTTAACTATCCAATTTGGTTCAACTGCAGGTTGTCGAAACGCTTTAGAAACATTGCAAGTAGTTATCTTTGTTCCTTTTGTATTTATTGAATCAATTGAACAAATAAAGTGGAGAATACAAATAGTTGGCCGTCACGAAAAATGCAAATACAATAATAATGACGACATTCAACTTGGAATGTGAAATTATGCAATTGAAGGTATAAACTGAAAGAATGCTGCAGATCAAAGGAAAGGGGCAATACAAGACACTGTGAAAATGGTGTTCATTGATATTGAATGAGACACCTTTCCAGACACACACGCGTCCTCTTTGTGTTGTGATTTCGGGCCAACAGCACCAATCATGTGCTTTCGACTACTCTTTGGGCTGGTAAAAGTGAAAAGGACGAGAGGTGCGGAGGAGAAAGTCAACATGGAACATTTGTAGCTTTTTCTTACTCTTCTCACTCGTGATTTTCCTTGTTCCTTTCTTTGGCTTTTCTTCCGCATGGATTGTGCTGAAAATTGTACAGAGAAGAAATTGCCTCATTTTTCCACTTAAACGGCTCACCCTGAAAAAAGAATCTTCACTCTTTCACTCCAAGAAACCACAACCAAGATTCCTTACTCATCGACGTTTTTTCTGGACGTTCACCAGTGTGGCTTTCGATCGGAATATTAGATTTTCTTTCTCATTGGCATGTGTCGCTGAGATAAAATTCCAAGGAAAATATCCTATCGGGGCCTCAGTTGGGCGACGGAGGAGGAAAAACCGGCTCTCCGGGTGAAGAAGGTAGGAAAAGCTGTCTCTTAAGACAGGGTTGGCGTGTCAGTTGTGGCGTGATATGTCGGACAAGTATGGATTTATAAAAATAAGATTCACCTCAATGAAACTACTCGCAATGTTCAGATGGAAATCGCCCTCAATATTTCCTCCAGCTCTCACCATCGGTCCAATAATAACTTTTAAATATGCAGAAGCCCAGAATCAAGGTCGGATTTAAATTGCCTAGGCCTTGGCAATGAGTTTGATTTGCAGTCAAAATGTAATTTCAAATCTGGAAGAGCATAATTCTGAGAAATTTTATCAATTACATGGTAATTGAATACTGAATTAAATTCAATGTTTACCTCACAGATTTCCTCCCTTAATGTCGCGCTTTTAGCGACTGCCATTAAAGTGAATCCTTTAGCGACATGCCTTGAGAGACAATAAATAAAGACCTTGTGTAAATATCTCAAATGTCTCCTGAATTAATTTAAAACTGATTGAAATCAAGTCCCATGGGAAGAAAATCTAATTTAATTGCTAGTCTGTTGAACTTGACGAGTGTGGGAAAACTTGCAGGAAACTTCAACAAACTCCTATGATATTAGCATATTTATTTGCGAGACCTCATTAATGCGGAGCATCGCAATTTACCCAGCAATTCAGCGAATCGATATTGAAAGACCGTCGATTATAGGGTTTTTTCCCCTGCGAGAGTGGAATTTTTAATTTAACCGAGAGGGAACGATATATCGGTCATTAGATGCAGTGCTTCCAGCGGGAATGCATGTGGAAAAATACTGATAAGGTCGAAAAAAAAGAGAAAATTGGCTGTTTACTTTTCTCGTGTGGTTTTTTATGAAATTTTCATTATCAAGAACATACAATATTTGCCGGAGGAACAGTGAAGATTACCAGGGATGAAGGGAACACAACCAGTTGATGACTAATAAATATCCATGGCACGTATTTTCACCCTAATGGCTTTCTGATGCTGCCACCCACCTCTGGCCATAAAATATTCATCGGAGATTAACAAGAAAACTTGCAGTATTATTTTTTATGCTAAACATCATGAACTTGATCTCATGACTTTGCGTAGGCTAAATCCGGAGAAAGTTTTCTGACTCTCACGATTTTAAATGTCACATGCAAAAAGCTTATTACATAAATAATTGAAAAAAAAGACACAATAAATTTTCATTACACTTCATGTTTAAAATAGACATATGAATGAATGGCTGAA